AATACTTGATAGACTTAATTTGGTACAGATCAGTGGTAGCATTTACAAATGTAATAATTCAAGGTTTAAGAATGTTTAATCCTTCCTTTCCAGGTTTTTACAAAAGTCTTTGAATATTTGCCTAACTTTTCCTTTTCAGATTTTGAACAATGTACTTGACTAAAATGAATGTATTGATTTCACTAAGTGCCTTACTCTTGACTAAAGCGTATTTAAGTAAACGTAAAAGTAATCCTAAAATTGAGGACACTGCACTTTTGCAGATTACAGATTGATCAAATCACCAGTGTGAATTCTATACTCTAACTGTGAATGTTTATCTGGATCTCTTACGATCCTGAGTTTTAAAATGCTTTTGACTAGTGATTGCCTTGAAGTAAATCTTTAAAGCGGCAAGCTGGTTTTGATTTTATACTGTAGTTTGATGAATGAAATTAACTAATGGTAAATGATCAAATATATTAGTTTAAAAACAAATATTTAGCCATTGTGCACCTGTGTTTTATGTGTTCATTATTATGCTTTTGACAAAAGATGATCAAACACTGATGAGAGATGATTTTTCCTATTATGATTGGCTGTATCAATCATTGTGATTGAATGTTTCAATCTTATTCCACTTTGTGATATAATTGATGTAAGGTGAGACCACACTCGAACCTGGAGACGCCTATTGAGTTAATTATTGACCAAATTATTATTAGACTAATGTTTTTAGGTTATCATAAATGATAAAAAGAGAGGACTGTTGTGGAAATAATTATCATAAGACGCCAATTAGTAACATACAGGACAAACCTTGATGTCTGTTTACCTCCTTTAAGGACACAGGCTGCTTAGCCAATAATGTTATTGTTCCCATTCTGTGACCGGTCAATACTGGGTCACAGATGGTCTGTGTTGTGGGTACACTGGGACACTTCCTTCTCTGTATTTGTGGACTCCAAGGTAAAATCTTCGAGGTCATAAGTGTCCGACGCAAGTAGCTCAGTGTTCCCACACTGTTTAGGCTACCTTCTCAAATATGTTGTTGACTCTCTGCGAAACCAGTTAGATGGGCTGGCAAGAGAGAGGCTCTCCAGAATTGACGTGGCAACTCTACCGTGAAGTCAGAACCTCTGACTCTTGGACTTGTGATGTGAATCCTCCGGCCGTTAACTCCAAATAAACCATCATGTGTTTGACATCAAAGCTACTGCTCTTCCCGTGTCTCCTTCCTGAGTCGGTGACTCCCACTGCATAGCTACACAGAAGTTTCCTCTACAACTACAACACCTGTTGTAAAATTGTGAACCTCCCCCTTAACATAGGTTCTTTATAACACACTTTAATTTGACAGAGCTTGTGTTCTAAAAGCAAGACATGTTGGTCACAGTAGAGTAAAAATATATTTTTTTCTTTTTTTTCTGTTCATTTGTGTCTTCTGATTTTTTGGATCATGGTTTTAAACTGCCTCATTGTGGAATTGTAAGTGAATATAGACACGTGCCACGTCTGTCAAAAAGCGGTTGATTGATTAAAAAACTCAAATGAATCATTTTGCTCTAATTTGAGCTTCTGCCAAACCACACAGGCAAATGTGCATTCATGCATTCAATGAGAATGCCAGAACCTGCACTCAACATAAAAAGAATCTCCCAAAACAATAATGCAGACACACAAAAGTTTCATCAAGATATTGGCCGCCACCACATGGCTGTTTCTATCCCCAACCATCTTTGTCTTTCTCCCACACAGTAATCTTCAACTTCCCACTCGTTCCTTTCACTCACCATCGGCCTTAATTCGCTTTTCCTAACACAGATTTCATTCGCTTACATTTCCATTCATGCATCATCTCAGTCTAATTCCTTTTCTTTAATTTCCCTTGCTCCCTCTTTGTTTCTCCTCCGCCTCGTGTCTTTCTTCATCTCTTCATCTCTCCGGGAAGCCTGTGCACCACGCAGCTTATCAGCACTAATCAGAGACCACTAAACCTTTATTTTACTCCCCTATCTGACTTTGTTTTTCTTGCTGTTAACTCTCTGCATTTTCATCTTTTCTCTCTGCCTCTGAATCCCTGCATGATGCCGGAGCCAGCTTGGCGCGCTGCACCGCTGTTGTTCAGGGGCTTTAATTTTTGGCAGATGTTTTTTGGCAGCCAAGCCTAATGCCCTCCTGCTTCCCACCTCTCAGCTGTCCTCTGACTCCTAAAGTAGAAGCTTCTTTCAAATAAATACAACTTTATTATTCACTTTCAAAAAACCGATATTTCACATTTAGCAGATGATGCTACTTCTAAGAGCGATTGCACCAGCTATTCCTAAATGTAACCTTATCCTAGTAATAACATTAGAGTCGACTAAATTGGGATTTATGCATAGGGTTGTGCCACACAAAAAAGTCTTCTCACAATGAGCTGTGATTAAACCAGTAACCACCTAGCTAGCTAATTTAACCAAAGGGCAACATTAAAGTTAGCTTGCTATGACCTGAGATTAAAAAACAAGAGATGGTAATGTAGTAAATATTTGATCTGTTTAAAATAACACAAACTTGTATTGCACCTTTAAGTATAAAACCTGCTGCCAGTAACACGAGCCTAAATGACCAAATAATGCTAGATCTTAATTTCCCTCAAAGTCAAATCTACATTATTACTACAAACTAACTTCTTAAGTATAATTCATCTCTTGTAACATCAAAGTGGTTATTGTGACGTTAAGTGAAAGTTAACATAACAATTTTTGGTCTTTCAGAAGTTTTTACTAGCTCCTTATGTTTAATGGTAAAACCCTATGTGGCTTAATGCTAATTTAAAACTAACTATCACTTACTACAAATAAAAGGGCATGTTTAGCCTCAAACTCAGTGAAGGATTTCAAAAAAAGCTGGTGAGACCAAACACTGGACTTCAATCAGCTGTCTCTGGAAGTCAATGTCAAAGCCTCCATGCAATCATGCAATCATGCAAACATGCAGAATTATTCATTGAAAATCAGCATGACTGACAGTTGAGTGCTTACACCCTTAAATGAGAAAATCACTTAAGGCCGGCACAAAAAATTAATTCTACAACATTGTTGTTCCATTAGGTGCTTGATTCCTTTCACTCTTGAAACAGCAGTGCACAACAAACATTACATTTGATTGAAGACAAATATACTCCAATTATGCACACACACTCGCTTGTTCTCCTTAACATTGGTTGATTTGTCTCAAATAAAGGCCTGGTTCTCTCTGCCACTAAGGTACATTGTGTTCCTTGTGTGACAGAGGGGTAATGACTAGTTGTTCTTCTTAGATGTTGCCATTTTTAAGCAACGTTATCCATTTGACCAGGACTTTTCTCAAAATGTCCAATAAATTCTTGATTAAAAACCATGTCATATGTATAAACCTTGCTAAAACATGACTCGACTCAAAGTTTTTGACATGATGCATTCGTGGCCATCTTTAGCATAGAGAAACAGAAGAGAGTTTGTAATTTGCACAATATTTTAAGAGCAGTGAACAGTATACAGTAATTGCAGTTGAAAGGGATCAATGACAAAATATAAAAAAATACTTTGCAGATACTGGTTTATTTACCGACCCTGTATCGTTCTTCTGTTCTTTAGGTCCTTTCATTGTCTTTTCTTTGTTCCTTATGTGATCTCACTTATTCATTTACTATGAATTCCCCTCATCTTTTCCTTCTTTCATTTCTATCTCCTTTCTCTCTCCCAGTACATCGCCCCCCCTGTTGCAGTATGACCTAATGACTTGGCAGCTGTTAGCCTGTGTTTGCAGTTTTCTGCCATTTCAGTGCAGGACTGAGGCTAAGGCTCTAAGATAAGACTCTGGATCGGCCAATGAAGGACACCGTATAGCACTAACATAATCCCAGAAACACACACACATACACACTTTCCACCGAAACAAACTGAAGAGGAATGTAATGCAACTTTTCTTTAATGTAATGCTTCTAGTTTCTAACATATTCATTTCTGTTATACCCAGGAGGGGCTTAAGCCCAGCGACCCACCATGTTGTGCTTCACCATGACATGACATAATGACTCGAGCAACATGTAGTACTTGTAAGCAGGGATTGGTTGGTTACTTGACAGAAGAGGATGAGGATGATGGAGAGAGATCTGTGATTACGATGTATTACTCCCCCCTTTGGTGTCCTCATATGTACCCAGTTCACCTCCTGGGCCCTGCCGTGGTGCCCTTGACCAAGGCACCGGACACCCCCATATCCCCCCCCCCCACTCCCCATACTCCCCGCTGTACAATAGCTGCCCACTCCTCCTAGTACTAGGATGGGTTAAATGCAGAGACCGAATTTCACTGTGTGCATGTATACGTGACAATTAAAGAGGGTTTCATCCCTCAGATTCTATCCATCTATCTACCCAACTTTTCTTCTCTGTGCCTGTCACGGAGGTGATCTCTGGGCTCATAGATCTCGGCCTCCGTTACGGGTTGTTTAGTTTTTTGTTGTTGAAAAGTGTTCCCCTTTCCCCATGTCTGTCGTTGATTGTGTGCACCGGGTGCCCTGTGTTGTCTCCTCCCCCCTCACCTGTGTCCTGTTGGTTTGATTAGTGTGGGTGTGTATTTAGGCTCTGTTGCCCTGTCTGTTTGGAGGCTGGTAGAGTGTGTGTGAGATCCTGGTGGCTGCAGGCTGTGTTCAGGGAGAAACAGCAGGATTGAGGCTGTGTGTCATGTGTTCATGATTTAATAAATGCCCACACCGGGTTGGATTTTGGACGTTCTGCCTCTGCCTCCTTGCTTGGTTGGGCCGCTCAATTGTCAGCTTTACAGTGCCCTTCTGCATTAGAAAGTGATTGATGTTGCTGCTATTTAGTAAAAAGAATACTAAAATTATAAATAGTACTGTAAAATCATGATCTTATTTGTGTGTTGGTTGCATGACCCCACCAGCTTGTCAAGTTGTTCTTACTTCTTCATTTATCATATTATATTATTTGTGTCTAAATCTAGCATGTTAAGGTAAAACATATTGTTACTTACCACCCACCAGTAGTATACATCAGAGGGCAGCTGGATGTTGTCTCGGGTCCACACAGGTGAGATGTCTGGGTCGTAGTTCTCATCGAACCAATCAGAAACCCCAGGGTCTCCGACACAGTGCGAGCAGGCGCACGTCTTCTGTTGCGAGGTGTCGGGTGTTGACAGCCTGTGTGCGCCCGTGTAGCTGGGCACTAGCTTCACCCGCCTTGACTCCTCCCACCCGGGGGGCTCCAGGTAGTTGAGACCGACACCCCCACGGAGTGAGACGGAGAAGAATAGCGAGGTGAGGAAGATGAGGACCAAGGAGCCAAGGAGAACCCAGACCCTGCGGGAGCATCTCACCCTGCCTCCCTTCTCCGCCCCACCTCCTCCCAGAGTACTACCTCCACCTCCTGTGGCTGCGAGCGTCCCCCCGCTCAGCCAGGGCCTGAGCTCCGAGAGTCTGGGAGCTCCCCTGGATGGGCCAGTGCTCCAGGACCCCCAGCCCCAGCGCCTGTCCCGGTGCAGGGTGGAGGATGGGATGCGGCCCCCCCCATGGCCATGCCCCCACCCCTAGGCCTGCCACTGTCCCCAGTCCACCACCACCTCCTGTGCTGCCGCCTCCACGCAACGACCACCAGGCTAGGTCAGCGCGATCAGCACGACCCCTGACTTACACTTCGCACTACAAAATCACACACACTCTGACGGAGGGCGATGTGTCAGTCGATTTGTCTCACAGTCAAGCTGTACACTCAGCAACGCTCCTACACTTCCTCCCCGTCTCCCACAGGATTCTCTCCCTCTCTCTTCACAGCCTGCCTCTCGCACAGAAATGCCTCGACAATCACACACAGCCGTAGCCCGACTGCTTCCCTTGCTCTCAATGAGAGGAGAAGTCTCCTTGAGCTTCTATTCTATGTTAATTCCCTCTGTCTTTACTTCCTAACTTCTCTTGTTTCCGCTTTCTTTACATCCACCTCTCTCTTTTCCCTCCTTAATCTTGGGATTAGTCCATCTTTAGTGAAATCCAGTGCACGGTGTGGACGGATGCAGCAGGTCCCTCTCGTTTGCTCTGCCATCTGTGTGAATGTTGAGCTTGGCTCCGGCGCTTTCTCTCTTTTTCCGTCTCACTCGTTGCAATGAAGCGACGTAGCCAAAGAAAAGCTGGCAGCCTAGTTGAGAGCAGCGTAGAGAGGGAGGGAAGATGGGAGGAGGAGCAGGAGAAGGGAGGAGGTCGGGCCTGAAGGGTGTTCCATCACGTCTCTAGCCATGCTAGACCAAAAAGATTCCTCTCTTTTCACCTCTGCTGCTCAGTGCCTCTGTTATCTGCCGCTTTCTCTGTATTCTCTTTGCTTTTCCTTAGATTGTTGCTTTTCTCTCGAGGCTCATTTCACCTCGTTTATCTACGTATCAAGGTCTCTCGTCTTCTGTTTGAACCCTCCCTTTCCAGTTCATTGTCTTTGTCTGTCTTTTCACAGAAAGCTTCTTTGTGAAACACTCCTCTGATGACGTTCTTCTTCTCACTTCCCTCAGACAAAGTTTTTTAAAGTTTGGATAAAATGTTTAAGCATCGTAAAGAGATGAGAAAAAAACTCTGCTACTGCTTAGCATTCAATGCCATCATCTTCTAGATGTCACTTCTATGAGAGGTTCTGCCAAGCTTGGCTGTGATAGTATCAAGAAATCACGAAAAAGTCCTTTCACCACTCTTCTCTGTACCCATAGAGATGAAAAAACAATCAAACTCAAAGCTTAAAGTCAAATAGAACGTTTGGAGGAGTAATCAAAGCAAGACAAGCAGAGTGTCTGATGCCCCTCCAACGGAAAGTTTTCCATCACAATGGTTTATCCAGGGATGAAGCTGCACCAAGGGAAGGCCAAAGTGGTGGAAGTAGTGATGTGCAGAGGCTGCGAAAAAAAAAGAGACAAAACCAATCAGCCCAAAATCTCATTTTCTCTACAGCTGGCTTTGCGAGGGCGACCGGATGAAAGGAGGGGGAAGCGTCTGTCCTGCATTGCAGTGTGTGTGTGTGTGTGTGTGTGTGTGTGTGTGTGTGTGTGTGTGTGTGTGTGTGTGTGTGTGTGTGTGTGTGTGTGTGTGTGTGTGTGTGTGTGTGTGTGTGTGTGTGTGTGTGTGTGTGTGTGTGTGTGTGTGTGTGTGACTTAATGTGTGTATGGTGTTAAGCTAGGGAAGCGCACCGTCTGCCAGTTGCACAAATTGTATTGTGTTCTACAGCTGTGCCGTTGTGTGTGTGTTTGGCTGGAAGCGTACATTTCATGATGCTGGTGAGATTGAGGTGACTCCTGTTTAGCTCTAATCTGCTAAACTGTAATCCCAAGGTAAAACCCCTGCGGTGCCCACTTTCTGCCAGCTGTGTGCCCTGCCCATGTTCATGTGATGCCAAAAAAACACCTGCTTAACTCACCTGCTGACAAACACTGCTGTTGTTCTGCTGCAATTACATTTGACAACCTGGACTCCTAAGGCACAAAGCAATCCTCCGAGCAAAGTAATGAAGTTTTCTAAGTCATCTTGTAATTTCGTACCAGGTTGTGGCACTCTGGCTTGAAGTCTGGATTCCTGTTCTGCAGAAAACCTGAGGGACAGAAAAAGAAAGCAATAAAAAGTGTTAGCGTTTTTTAGCCATCAGGCTACATGTAGCGAAAGGTTGTGTTGTTTAAATGGCCCATCCTTGTGAACTTCAACCATTTAACAAAGCAGTTTGCCAAGCGCCTTTAAACATCAAAAGAAAAGAAAAAATATATAAATCTAGCCCGGTACTTTCCCTCCATTTCCTGTCCCCAAGCTCTAACAAATGTCCACAAATCAAATGAACTTCTTGGTTTAGCTATTGTGCAGCAAAGACTGCAAGACAGACAAGGTAAACAATGTTCTTCTTCCCATGGGAGTCTTCGGGTTCCATTATTAGCCAATGCAGCCTGACTTTGTGTCGCATTCCTCCAAAAGTTGGTACCGTTTCAACCTTTAGCTGTAGGGTTTTTAATTGCCATCCCCTGCCGTCCCGACCGCAGCAACCTAAACACACTACAGGCGATCAAATGAAATGGACTACTTGCGTTTTCTTCGCAACGCCTGATTTGGTGTGAATCCAAACTAAGCCTCATTGATCATATTGACATTTTTAATCCTCCTCTCCTTTTCCACCTTGATCCTCTTCCTGTCTTATTTTTTCATTCTCATATTCTCTCCCCTAACCAGAATGACCTCTTTTTCAGTTTGTATCTGTCTCCAGCAGCCCTCGTTCTGCAGTTTCATTGCATCTGCTCTCTCTCTCACAAACTGTGCATGTAACTGGGCCAGTACTCGACCCCCTGTAGTTTGTGCATAAGCCTGGGAGAGGTCTTGACGACAAAGCTTCAGATGTTGAACTCTGTACACAAGTATTAAGAACAATAACAAACACACAATTCTAATAGTACTTTTCGTTGCTCTCGTCGGCTTTTAATACAATTATTTCTCATGTAGTACAAGAAAAGCTTATATCTTATTAAATAAAGATGTTTTATTTCTTCTTATATTGAAAAAACCTTTCATTTATATAGTGTTTTCGATCCCTTTGCCAAAAGGAAAAGCAAGGTTTTGCTAATCTTAGCCCTCAATTTCTTAACAAATTGATCACTAATACAACTTAATGGTAAAATAAGAGTTTTATTTCACAAGCCATAAGACTTGTGAACAGTCAAAGTGGTAACTTCACCTTTAGAATGAATAATGCATTCAAGCTTTTACAATTTCAACTGTGTTATATATTGTGTAAATGAATAATTTTTGTTTATTTTTGCCTGGACTTTTGCTTGCCTTGAATTGCCCGTTGAGAGAAAGTATTTTATGTTGAATTTCTGAATGTCTTTGACTGTGTCCATCACAAGGGGCAAGGGCAAACACGAGCAAACTTTGGCTCTGGCCTGTTTGTGTGTCTGCTTACTACTCAAGACATTTCTAAATGTCACTGTACTGAATTAGAAATGTTGAAGTAGAGTGACAGGATACAGATTGAAGGAGTCGGGGCAGAATACTAAGCAATGACACGGATCTCACATACAAACTGCTCTCAGAACTGAAAGCTGCTGTTTATTCTTGCAGATGATCATTCCTCTGTGGGGCACATTGGCTGAGTCCACTACAGTTGACATCAGGTTGCACAATTTTGCATTTGAGCAAGGTGTTAATTGCTAATACAGATATAAATGAGCTGAAGATAATCTAATGTATGGCTCATTAAATTCCCGCCTAATAAGATCTGTTGATGTGCTGTGATGAACTGGTGTTAAGTGTTTTCTTCTGCTGAACTTGGAATATTAGTTGAAGGGAAAAAAAGGGGACCTTAGCCTATCATGCAAAATGCACTTTGTGATGTCTTTTATACATACATATGTGTCCCCGGTGCGTCGGGGAACTCACGCAGAGTCAGAAAATAAAACCCTTTCTCTTTTCCTCCGTACCCAAATCTTTTAAAAACGGGGGGTACAACGAGCGGATACAGATTTGCTGCCGATCCATCCATCCATCCATCTTCTCCCGCTTATCCGTGGTCGGGTCGCGGGGGTAGCAGTTCCAGCAGAGAGCCCCAAACTTTCTTTTCCCTGGCGACATCAACCAGCTCTGACTGGGGGATCCCAAGGTGCTCCCAGGCCAGCGAAGAGATATAATCCCTCCACCTGGTCCTAGGTCTACCCCTTGGTCTCTTCCCAGCTGGACGTGCCTGGAACACCTCCCTAGGGAGGTGCCCAGGTGGCATCCTAACTAGGTGCCCGAACCACCTCAACTGGCTCCTTTCGACGCGAAGGAGGAGCGGCTCAACTCCGAGTCCCTCCCTGATGACCGAACTTCTCACCTTATCCCTAAGGGAGACACCAGCCACCCTGCGGAGAAAACCCATCTCGGCCGCTTGTATCCGCGATCTCGTTCTTTCGGTCATGACCCATCCTTCATGACCATAGGTGAGGGTAGGAACGAAAATTGCCCGGTAGACAGAGAGCTTTGCCTTCTGGCTCAGCTCCCTTTTCGTCACAACGGAGCGGTAAAGCGACTGCAGTACCGCTCCCGCTGCTCCGATTCTCCGGCCCATCTCACGCTCCATTGTTCCCTCACTCGAGAACAAGACCCCGAGATACTTGAACTCCTTCACTTGGGGTAAGGACTCATTCCCTACTTGGAGTGGACAGTCCATCGGTTTCCTGCTGAGAACCATGGCCTCAGATTTGGAGGTGCTGATCCTCATCCCAGCCGCTTCACACTCGGTTGCGAACCGATCCAGTGAGTGCTGAAGGTCGCAGACCGATGAAGCCATTAGAACCACATCATCTGCAAAAAGCAGTGGTGCAATCCTTAGTCCACCGAACTGCAGACCCCCTCCCCCATGACTACGCCTCGAAATCCGATCCATGTATATTACAAACAGGATTGGTGACAAAGAGCAGCCCTGGCGGAGGCCAACCCTCACCGGAAATGGGTCCGACTTACTGCCGAGGACCCGGACACAGCTCTCGCTTTGGGAGTACAGAGATTGGATGGCCCTGAGTAGAGACCCCCTCACCCCATACTCCCGCAGCACCTCCCACAGTAACTCCCTGGGAACTCGGTCATACGCCTTCTCCAAGTCTACAAAACACATGTAGACCGGATAAGCGTACTCCCAGGCCCCCTCCAGGATCCTTGCGAGAGTAAAAAGCTGATCCGTCGTTCCACGACCAGGACGGAATCCGCATTGTTCCTCCTCAATCTGAGGTTCGACAATCGGCCTGACCCTCCTTTCGAGTACCTTAGAGTAAACTTTTCCCGGGGAGGCTGAGTAGTGTGATGCCTCTGTAATTGGCACACACCCTCTGATCCCCCTTTTTAAAAAGGGGAACCACCACCCCGGTCTGCCACTCCTTCGGTACTGTTTCCGACTTCCACGCAACGTTGATGAGACGTGTCAACCATGACAGTCCCTCAACACCCAGAGCCTTCAGCATTTCTGGGCGGATCTCATCCACCCCCGGGGCTTTGCCACTGTGGAGTTGTTTGACGACCTCAGTGACCTCCCCCCGGGAGATTGGTGTTGATCCCCCGTCATACTCCAGCTCTGCCTCTAACATAGAGGGCGGAGTTGTCGGGTTCAGGAGTTCCTCAAAGTGTTCCTTCCAACGCCCTAACACTCCATCAGTTGAGGTCAACAACGTCCCATCCTTACTGTACACAGCTTGAATGGTTCCCTGCTTCCCCCTCCTGAGGTGTCGGACATTTTTCCAGAACAACTTTGGTGCCGCCCGAAAGTCCTTCTCCATGTCTTCTCCGAACTCCTCCCACACCCGCTGCTTTGCCTCGGCCACGGATGAGGCTGCTGCCCTTCGGGCCTGTCGGTACCTTGCAACTGCCTCGGGAGTCCCCCGGGATAACAAATCCCTGAAGGCCTCCTTCTTCAGTCGGACGGCTTCCCTGACCACCGGTGTCCACCAGGAGGTTCGAGGGTTACCGCCCCTTGAGGCACCTAGGACCTTGAGACCACAGCTCCCCGCCACGGCTTCGGCAATAGAGGCTTTGAACACCGACCACTCTGGTTCAATGTCCCCAACCTCTACAGGAATGCCCGAAAAGATCCGCCGGAGGTGTGAGTTGAAGGCCTCCTGAACTTGGGCCTCCTCCAGACGTTCCCAGTTCACCCGAACTACACGTTTGGGCTTACCAGGTCTATCCAGAGGCTTCCCCCGCCACTCGACCCAACTCACCACCAGATGGTGATCAGTTGACAACTCCGCCCCTCTCTTTACCCGAGTGTCCAAAACATACGGCCTCAGGTCCGATGATACGATAACGAAATCGATCATGGACCTTCTGCCTAGGGTGCTCTGGTACCACGTACACTTATGAGCATCCTTATGTTCGAACATGGTGTTTGTTATGGCCAATCCATGACTAGCACAGAAGTCCAGTAACAAACCACCACTCCGGTTCAGATCAGGGGGGCCGTTCCTCCCAATCATGCCTCTCCAAGTGTCTCCATCATTGCCCACATGTGCGTTGAAGTCTCCCAGCAAGATTAAAGAGTCCCCTTCAGGAGCCCCATACAGGACTCTTTCCAGGGTCTCCAAGAAGGCCGTATACTCTGAACTGCTGTTGGGTGCATAAGCACACACAACAGTCAGAGTTTTCCCCCCCCATAACCCGCAGGCGTAGGGAGGCGACCCTCTCGTCCACTGGGGTAAACTCCAACAACGAAGCACCTAACCGGGGACTTGTGAGTATCCCCACACCCGCCCGGCGCCTCACACCTTGAGCAACTCCGGAGAAGAATAGAGTCCAACCCCTATCCAGAAGTAAGGTTCCAGAGCCGACGCTGTGCGTAGAGGTGAGCCCAACCAGATCCAACTGGTAACGCCCCCCCCATCCCGCACCAGCTCCGGCTCCTTCCCCCCCTAGAGAGGTGACATTCCACGTCCCCAAAGCTAGCTTCTGTCGCCCGGATCTGGTCCGTCGAGAGCCTCCGCTTTCACTGCCACCCTTCTGGCAGCGCACCCGACCCCATCGCTGTTTCCCGTAGGTGGTGGGCCCGCGGGACGGAGAAGCGGAGGTGTTGCCCACGTTGCCTTTTTG